CACAATGCAAGAGGGACAATCAGGAACTAGCTGTGGGTGTAGATACAGCCAAGGCAGGGAGGAAGTCGGGGTCAAGTTTGTGCTACATCGGAGGATTCAGTTGGAAAAAAGGTCCTAGCGTTGTTGCGCACCTCACTCCTCTAGCTGGTCCATCTTCACGAGTCGTTTTCCCGCAATTGCGGTCATACAAACAAAACAAGCCGGCAAGCGGATGTAGATTTGACCAATCAGAGGCCTCCTGTCTGCGGTGCAGCAGTGTCTGCGGAAGGGGGCGGAGACGTCTCTGCATTCACTGCGACACCTACGCAAACAACCTAGTTTCAAAATATAAAGGCTGATTTAAGGCTGATTTATACTTCGAAACTAGGTCGTCTGCATAGGTGTCTCAGTGAAAAAAAAAAAATTTCCCCACCCCCTCCGCAGACAGTCGGCTGCACCTCTCCCAAATTGTAACTGACCGCAGACAGTGCCGCAGACAGGAGGCCGGCTTGTTTTGTTTTTATGACCGAAATTGCGGAAAACAACTCGTAAAGTTTGACCCGCTAGAAGAGCGAGGTGCACGAGAACGCTGACACCCTTTTTTCACATGGATCCCCACTCTTCTTCTTTTTCGCCGCCATGTTCCTCCGTTGTCGGACAAATTGCCCCCACTTCCTCATCGCCTCTGCTGCATCCAAACCCACAGCATATAGCTCAGACAATATTGAGCATAAATCAAAAACGTCTGCATCAAACTCACTGCTACACACTGCTGCAGGTGTATAACCAGCCCTTAAATCAGCCAAAGCTGCTACCTGTGACAGTAAATAACTCAAGGAGCTCAAGAAGTAATACAATGTTAACTACCTAAATGTAATTTTCTATTTCTTCAAACTGTAAAATCCTTGCAACAAACTAAATTAATAAAAATAATAAAAATAAAATGCTTTCTTTAAACCAAACTACGATGTTCCTCTTATATTTTGCAAATTTATGTTGCGCTGCATAATGGTGTTTTGCATCTAAAGGCTAACGTTTCCTGTCTTACGTTCATTGTTTCTTTAGATTTATGGCCTAAGAGAACAGTAGACTGTGGTTCAAATTGGGCGAGATTTCATATAACCAGGCGGTTTATGAAAATTTTTTTGGGCTGGAAAACGTGAGTCATTGACATCTGGCAACCTTGTTTGACGTTACGCAGCAGCAGTCACTGTCGCGTCCATGTTAATAACCAAAACCCATCGTGTGATGCTTGAAGATAGATCGGTTAATCTACAATATGTATTCCTATTGTGTTTCACATTTGAGACTCACACATTAAGAGTCACTAGTCCAAGCCTGCTTTTATCAATAATAACTCTGCATAAAATTGATATTTCAGTGTACCAATATCCACATTTAATGAATTTTTAAGTTATTATTAAAGTAGTTATTTATCTATGATTTCACTGAAGACTCCTAGATGATTGCAGAGACAGATCATTTTCTCTTTACCCCATATAATACAAAATCTAGTTATGAAAAGAGCATGAATTCTGTACTTATCATCTTTAATGTTAGTACATTCATGTGCATAATTAATCACAGTGTTTCTGTTGTAAAGTAATTGTTAATATATGAAAAACTAAAATTTTTAATAAGTTGAACATTCCCCTTGAGAGTATTACTGCTGCCGCCTTCTCTATTAGAGAGAAAAGAATGCTAGGGGTGGCCAATGATTGGCTGAGGAAGGCCATGGCCACCCCTGGCCCCCCATCTAGCTCCACCCCTGCTGCAGATCAGGGAGAGAGGAGCAAGAGGAGACCCTCAGCTGGAGCCCTCACCCCCTCCACAGGAGGACATTTAATCTCCTCTCTGTGCCAAGAAGAGGCACACCCATCAGAGCTGTTGGCCAACCTCCAAATTTGTTATGATTATTAGATTGATAAAACCATGAAGATGCATGGCTTAGAAAATCGATCAACTAACGAGACACAAAACCGATGAAAAACACCTCCTTGCTTCTAATAAAAACAATATTACAGACCATTCTGCAAACAGGGAGGCTTGCTTTGTTTCAGTAGAGCCTGTTCATTCATTTCCAGGTATGTTGCAGGGCTACGCTTGGCTGACTTTGGCAGGGTCCTCCTAATGTAAGGCGGTGACCCATGTTGAGCAGCCAAGCAGCAAGACCCGAGTGTGTTTGGCCAGGCTGAAAAGTGCCCTTCAGGCCCAGCACAGCCTCTCTGCCGCTGCTGCCCTCCGCCAAGAACCATTCAGAGGGAAAGAGAGAAAAGAAGGAGGAGGGCTGGATGGAAAAATATGCTCCAGTGTAGAACGAAAGTCAATGCCCTGCAAATCACTGGGCTGGATGTAACTACACATATAAGACAGGAAACGCTGCTTTTCTTGTGTGGGCTGAAAGCAGCATTAATGCATGCGGCTGAGACTTTCGATTATTCTAAACACAATGATGCTGTTATTAAAAGTTATAATAAAGGAGGCGTGTCCAGTGATGAATGTTCCAGATCCATCCCTACCAGCTCCACCTCTGACTCCAGGGAACAGAGCAAGTCCAGAAGCAGCCAGCAGGGGGCTCTTTGGAGCTGCCACCCTTCAAACCTGATGCAATTGGAGCAGTTTGCTCATGAGGAGTGGACCAAAATCCCTGCTGAGACGAGCAAAAGTCTCACTGACATCTACAGGAATCGTTAGGTCGCAGTGATTGCCTCTAAAGGTTGTGCAAAGAAATATTAGGTTAATAATAATAATAATAATACATTTTATTTAAAAAGGCGCCTTTCTGGACACTCAAGGTCACCGTACAAAAGCATAAAAACAGCTTCAGAAAAAATAAAAACATTTAAAGTTAAGGGTACCACCGTTTTGTTTGGGTATCTTTGATTAGTTTATTTTATAAATCATTGGCAACGTTTGACTTTCATATTTTTGATTATTCATCTATTTTTTTCAAGTTTTACTGTGACCATTGTGGGTTTTTAATTCATTAAACTAGGGGGACCAACAATTCTGTCCAAGCACCTCTTGTTTCTTCTTTATGTACTACTTTTTATGATTTTTCTAATCCTTTTAGGTAAAAGTAGTAACCTCTGCAGTCATGAGGTGAAGTTATTTATTTTTTGTATTTTTCTCTTTCAGCTCTCCACCTAAACAAAGATTTTGGTTTGTTTCACTCTCAGATTATCTTCTGAACTGTTTTTTCAAGATATAGCACACACATGTAGTTATTGTTCTATTTTTACCATATGAATAGGTTTTTATTAAAGTACACAACTTTATTCAAATACTGGACAAATAAATAAATAAAATGATGACATATCAAACCTTAAAAAACCTTAATAAAACCT